AGTGCTTTAAACATTTTTTGGCCAGTGCCAGGGGAGGTGAGTATACATTAAATATTTACAGAGTCTCTAGGAATTAGTCGAGCAAATAGCCGCAGAGCAAGGCAAATCCAAGACTGGCAAAACGAAACGTCGGTTTGGCAAGAAGCGAGGAGAGAGGGACCGAGGGAATGGCAAATGAAAGGAAGCGGAAACGCTCGGGCAAAAGTCGAACGAGCAACAGGAAGTGAGGGAGAGAGCGACAGACACAGACAGAGACAGAGACAGAGGCAAACAAAACAAGCAAACAAACAGTCGCTCACACGCAGACCGACAACACACGTGGACACAACACTTTTATGAGGCCAGCAGCCGGCAGGCAGCAACAAAAGACAGAAATAATAACAAGCTGACTCTAGCAGCTTGTCGGTTTCCTTCCTCCCTCCACCCACTCTCCTTACTATCCTCCCATTCTCCTATTCTCCTATTCTCCGCTTTGTCGTTTACAGAAACAAGGCGTGACACAGTTGTTGCACTTACAACACCCTCAAACACAACGCACACACACACAGGCATAGAGAGCGAACCAGCCTGGTGGCACACAACGGGTCAGCAGTCAGAGTTGACTCTTCTGACCTTTTCCACGCAGATCTAGCCTTTTTGCATGGAAGCTATTCATATTTCTAACTTTATTAGACAGAAATAGATTTGTGATAAATATAAAAATATGAAAAGGTGTTTGGATTGAGTTTAAAAGTACTATATAGTACTATATAGTATTATATTATACACTATATATATTTTTATTATAATTTAATGAGATTTTCTATTAGTTAATAAACATATGCCGGGTTTACTCCCCGGTTAAGCCTAAGCATCACATTAAATTAAATTAATGGAATATTTAGTTCTCAATTAACAAGAAATTAAGCAAACTTCGAGAAACCGAAGCCATAGGTTCATGAGATCAAATGTGAAACAGATCATAACTAAACCAAAGATGCATTAACTTGGAGTATACGTTGGTAGATATTCTTTATAAAATTTGCTGAATCACTTTATGATCAATTTAGTAATGGAGCAAAAAGAGTTAGTTATCACAGCGGACCTATACCTGATCCCTCCTATAGCATCTATTTATATGATTATAATTGTCATGCTTAAGACTTACCGCAGTAGAAGATACACGTTTATCCTTACTCAATTCCTTCCAGTGTTGTATTCCTGGTGACTTCAATAGGTCTTCTTAATAAATCATCCATGTAAGCTTCTTCTTGGTCATCAAGTTACATTGCATTGGCCAGGTGATCTTTTTGGGATCACAGGGCAATCACTATCACTGCCACTATCACTACAGATGTTAACAGGAGGGAGGCCACGTACACACTGAGGGAGGTGGGCCGGTAGCGCCTGCTATTTATACTCTCCGAGCAAAGAGAACAACAGAGAGTGAAAGTGAGAGCACGCGGGAGTAAGTGATATCTCTAGAGACACACAGCGATAGAGAGGGAGAAAGAGAGCGAGAGGCAGCTTCTAAGCTGAGACTCTAGCTTCCGGAGAGACGGATGGACAGACGGACATGGCTGGTTCGACTTGGCTGTTTATGCTGATCAGGAATATATAATATATATACTTCGCAATGTTCACAGCGTTGCACTAATATTAAAATATTCCGCAAGGGTATAAAAATATATTTATTATCTACTTTCATTTGGTTTTCCATATGTTCCTAAGGAACCCAGATTGATTCAAGCATTTTTGGTCTCTGTTTAAATGTTACAAAAATGTTAAATTTAAATTAAATTAATGGAATTAAGTTATCATATCATATCCTAACTATTCATATATTGTTAATTTTACTGCACTTGTATTCTTTCACTTTAGAAAAAACTCAAATCGATTGAAGCCTAATTTTCTTTGGTTAAACCTATACTTTCCTTCTGATTTTCTTCAAGCTGGTTCAAGCTAACTCCTGGAGAAGAATTGTTTTTTGAACTGCATTCTGTTTTGACATCACTGTCGGCACACATGGTTACTCTGGGGTCGTGCGTTATTTATAGAGCCCACCGTATATGTACATACATATGTCCTGCCGGGCTTTGTGTCACAGTCAGTCTGTCAGTTGCATCAAGTCGAGTTCACTTGGCCAAAGTTTCCCTTGCGAGTGGGGACCGGAATGGAATTGCAGCCAAGTTGGACATCTGTTTGCACCACTGTCCACTCTTCGCTGTCCACTCCGGCTTGTTCTCTGGGCCGGACAAGCTCAAACGGAGCCAAAGAGCATGGCTAATAACGAGATGACAGAATGAAAGAACAATGAAACTGCATTTTCGGAGGAAATCGCCTGGGGCCCCACAGTACTCATGGATTTCACACCCACAGTGATCATGGCCAGAAAAGGGAGAGCTCTGCTCGGGCGAGCGTCATTTATTCCAATTTGTGTGCCGGGTGGGCGGGCGATTTGACTGCTATTAAAATGCGATTCCCTTACGAGTAACAAGTAGGTAGTAGATTGCAGTACGTTGACCCGAGAGCGAGCTGCTCAAAAGAAAAAGGAAATTGCTTATTGTGAGTCCTGTTTTCTTTAAATACCCTTGCAGGGTATTATTATTTTAGTAACCAGCTAGCAACTTGTGAACACATATATATATATATATATATATATATTCTTGATCAGCATCAACAGCGGACATTTATTCTAACTTTTTTTTCAAAATTTTATAAGGCGTTACATCATTAAAAATTTCAAAAATTCGAATAAATGTTAATTTTTGTTAAATGTAAACTCAATATTCAGATTTGTTAACCTAAAAAAAAACTAGCATAAAAAAGCTTAACGTAATTAAATTTTTTGGTGAGTTATGTTTATAACAAACTCAGAAAAACTGTAAGGATATATAAACTTCGACTTCTTACAGTTGGTTTTCTATCATGTTTTTTATTCTTTCGTATTTTTTGTGTGTATGCCATCAGTTTCAGGCTCTCGCCAGTTATTACTTTATTTTTCACGGCCTTGGGGAATGGCTGGGATTTGGCCATTTTGCAGCCAGTTCAATGCACAGAGGCGGAGTTGAAAGGTCACAACATTAAGATTTACGGCCAGGTTAACTTTAGCCCACTAATGTTTATGAGAAAGTAATCGTTGAGGTTTCAAAGGAAAGTAATTAAGGAGCGATAACCGTTTGTCTCAATAAGCTTAAGGGGCGATTTTTTAATGACCAGTCAGTATACATATATGATTAGTTACTAACTTTGTAAACTAATAAACAATGACTTGCAATTTTTGTAACACAACACATTTCTGAGACTTGGCCGGCAGCAGTCACTTCGTTCCGGGGATGTAAGAACAAGTTGGGAATCATAATTACAGATGTGCGAGACTTGTTTTGGACCAAATTTAAGAGCAAGCTTTTTGAATGAAACTATGCAGTTGATCTTCTATATACTTTTAAAAGTTTATAAATCGGAGCATGCCAAATCGGTGGACTATATATAAATATATATATGCTGACATAGGAACAATCGGACGATTTATAGAACTATGATCAGTAATTAGCTTTGACCAGTAATTAACTATTATCAGGAAGTTTCTATGAACATTAAGTAAGTATGAGCAGTAAGTAACTCTGAACAGTAAGTATCTATGACCAGTAATTATCTTTGACCAGTAAGTATCTATGACCAGTAAGTACGTATGATCAGTTACTAACTTTGAACACTAATAAACAATGACTTGCAACTTTTGTAACACAACACATTGCTGAGACTTGGCCGGCACCAGTCACTTCGTTCCCGGGATGTTAGAACCAGTTGGGAATCATATGCTCAGATGTGCGAGATTTGTTTTGGAACAAATTTAAGAGCAAGCTATTAGAATGAAACTGTGCAGTTGATCTTCTATGATGATCAGTAATTAACTATGACCAGTAATCAACTATGATCAGTAAGTTTCTATGAACATTAAGTAACTATGATCAGTAAGTATCTATGACCAGTAAGTAACTATAATCAGTAAGTATCTAAAAATATCAGAAAATTTCTAAGTATGCAAAGGGGGCCATGGCAATAAAAAAATAAATTGGAATATAAAGGCTATACCTAGGTCTGACACCACCAATAGCTTCTTCATACATAATATAAATGTCATGGTTAAGACTTACCCCAGTAGAGGACACGTCATTGTTTACTTCCTTACAGTGTAGTGACCAAGATTGGGTGGCTCTATCCAATGTGAGCTTCTTCCTGATCATTCAGATGTATTGCATTGGCCACGTCATAGTTGGGATCGAAAGGTAATCACTATCACTATCACTTGAGATGTTATCACTAGGTACCCCTAGGACGGACTGAGTCGCGCGCGGCCTTAGCGCCTCTATTTATAGTCCCCGAGGAAAGAGAGGAGCAGAGAAAGTGAGTGTGAGTGGGCGGGAGAGGAGTTGCCTCTAGAGATTAACATAGAGCGACTAACATAGCGAGAGAGGGGGAGAGGCAGAGAGGAGCAGCGCGCTATTTAATTTAACTACAATCAATAAGTAACTATGAATTAAGTAACTCTGAACAGTAAGTATCTATGACCAGTAAGTATGTATTATCAGTTACTAACTTTAAACACATATAGACAATGACTTGTAACTTTTGTAACAACACATTTCTGAGACTTTTGTATAAAATTTTATGCAAATCGAACTACTATATCATATAGCTGCCATACAAACGATCGTTAAAAATAGAGGAAATGCAAAGTGGCGAATGTAGGACTGTAAATATTAAATATATAGGTGAATGTAATGAAAGCAGGCCTTACAATATTTTTTTTTAAACATAAATATATATAATTTATACTGTGTTAAGTCCTAGTAATCGAATTTAATTAACCAAAAGTGAATTTTAAAATTATATTTAAATGAAATTAATTTATAAAACGTCAAGCTTTTGCCACCTTGCAACCAATGCACCATGCAGAGCTGTTTGCTGCGATCGAAATGTGGTCACACTGCGTCTCCCGCAGCTGATTTTCGCAATTCAAATGTTTGTTTACAAATTGAATTCCGAGGAAGTACACGCAATCCAGTGAGCTTTGACTAAAACATAAGGCAGAAGCATAACCAGATTAAATTGTAACTCCCCCCCCACCGTAATTGAAAACAGTATATTGTTATGTGTTCTACGATTAATAAATGAATTCATTACAGTTACATACACGGCCATGGAATCTAAAAACTGCAAATTTTTCGGACCAAACGGCGGCGACTGTCACGATAAGTCCGTCGGCGCTATATTCTACGACTTTGTCACCAAGAACATGGCCATGCCCTCTGAGATGGGCGAACTGGTGGCCTACGTGTTACTGATGGTTATCTCTTGGTACGTGGTCGCCTTCACCTTCAGATTCATGCTGTCGCTGGTTAAGCCTGTCCTCATAGTGCTGGTAGCCCTTTTCCTGTTCCGATTCTTGCGCACCTTCGAAGGCGGCGAAATGAAGGATGTGTTAATCGGAATTGCCAATCTTCTCATGAGTGGCGTGTCCAAGGCTGCGGAGCTATTCATGCGCCTATTGGACTGAGGCAGTGCTCTACATTCCATTGTTATAAATCCTATGTAATTGGTACAAATGTATATACATACATATGTATATGATACTTTGTAAACGAGTCTAACTAGACTCTCTAGGATTATAAATACTTTTACGTTTGCAGCGTACGTGTACGTATTGTTTTTATATACGAAAGTTGGGAGGGTTTTGCTAAACAATTTATTTGTTGAATGAATTCTTTCAATATAATAGCTGTACAGCCGAAAATCCCCGTTGCATCTTGAGAAAAGTTCAATTTACTTCTCCTCACACCACTCGTTCTCTTTGCGAACCTGCTCCTCCTCCTGCGGCAAGAAGTCGTTCTTCAAAGCGAACGTCTCGCGAATTTCCTGCGGCGATTTGCCCTTGATCATGTTGGCCACAGTCTTGCAGGTGACGTCAAGCAGTCCCTGAATGTTCAGGTAGTTAGCCGCCAGGATCAGCTCGAACAGAGTGCCCTGGTCGACCTTGAGGAAGTCGGCGTCCCAGGAGGAGATGTCGTCGGTACGCTTTTCCTTGTTCTCGTCCTCCTCGGCAACCATTGGGTCGTCCTTGTGGTACGTGGCCCAGTGGAGCACCTTCTTAAGGATCAGCGAGTTAACGTTCGGAACAGGGAGAACGCTGTTGTCAGCCTCATCGCCCAGATCCTCGAGAGCAATGCGGATAGTCTCCGAGCACTTGGCGATCTCTTGGTCAGTTTCAAAGATCTCCTTGTCGGAGGACTCCAGACGGATGAGAGGCATGCTGTCGTTAAGGGAAATTATCAGTTCATAACTCGTTAGCGCACACCCACTCTCGGTTATTTTTACCTGCTTTGGCGATTAGAAACTGTTTGATTTATTTGTGCTCGCAGCCGAAAACAAGTTTTTTCAAAATCAGACACAACACGGGTGCCACTTAGCTGTGGCCTACTGGCTAAAAATAATATTCCCTTGCCTTCAACTTGAACTGAGCGAGTGCGGTCCGGCCGGCGTCTAGCAGAGGGGCGCTTTAGTTCAACGTTTTCGCTTGTTCTTTAGCCGGTCTGTCTGCTGATAGACTTATAAAAAGTAATCTTAACACGAAGATATCAAAAAAGGAAACGACGGCCAGTGTGTCCACTTTCGTGGGAATATTCAAATAGGACCGCTGTCAAACTGTGCGATGTGTAAACACTGCTCCGACTTTAGCAAAGCTTTTAACTATCGAAAGACCCCATTCAACATCTTGCAATTTGTCTCAGTGTGCCTGGACGGGAATATCTGGTGGTAAATGTAGGCATTTTCTTGATAAGTACATATTTTATACGGAAAATGTAATAAATTAATTACAGTGTACAACTAGGCCAGGGAATCGAAAATGGCCCACTTGGCGGTGTTGGTCATCTTCAAGACCGTGGTTTCGCTAACCAAGCTTTTCCTCTTGACGCTGGCCTCCCTGTTCCTGTGCCGCATTTTGATCAAATTCGACACTTCCGCTTTCAGGAATTTGCTCATTGAAATTTCAAGTCTAACCATGAACAGCAGATCCAGACCTGAGTCCCTGATCTTCATTCCATTGTTATGAAAAAGATTTAAAGGGCACATACATACATATTATACATTAATATATATAGGCGACTTTGTATACGGTTATCTAAATTCTCTATATTATTAATATATTTTAAATACAAGTACGTATACTTTATCATATTTGGCCACCATCAAGATGTTTAGGAATTAGCCGCCTTGACGACAGCACAGTGCTTACAGTCTCGAGCCACCCTTTTATCCAGGTCTTCAACCTTTGTATAACATTTAAAAAATAATGGTTTTCTGGTCACACCTAATCGAGTTTCTTAAAAAACATGGCTGAACTAGGGCTGGAAAAACATCGATTCTTGGTTGGCCGATATATTGATGTTGCATCCTCTTCTATAGCAAAAGCCTAATTTTATTTAAAATAATGAAATGATTACAGTGTAAAAAAGATAAAGAAATGCCAGGATATTTAAAATATTCGATACACAAAACATTTGGTAAAATCAATTTCACGATATATGGAAAAATATCGATAAATTTAATATTTTGATACAGTTTTCACATCCCTATTGGATTGGCCAGAGAAAATAAAAAAAAAAACTTTTAAATCGCCTTGCGGATACGAACATTCGCCGCCCCAGTGCCAAGCCAAGAAATTGTCTGTGAAATCGCAAATTACCGGTCAGCACGTGCGCCAGCAAGCGGATTCGCGGCAGCGGCGGAGGGCCAAACAAACAGATTTTCCGGCTGAAAAAAACAGGCGGCGGCGTCGACACGCGGACCGAAGGATCCGATCCGAACCGGAGAAAGCCCCAGGGACGACTGGTAGCGGAAAGGGAAACGTGAATGGAGCACAACATGGACGTGTACGACGTGAGCGACGATTTGGTGAAGAAGCTCAATGACTGGAAGCTGATCGGTATCATCTCCGGCAAGTTTAACGAGCTTAAGGAGAACTACCGCAAGGTGGACTTTGTGGAGCGGGCGCTGATAGATTTCAAGTACATGGAGAAGATCTTCATGAATGTGACGCTGCGCGAGGACAAGTGCAACAAGCGGAGCGTGGAGTTTCGCATGCTGGGGAACGAGCAATTCTCGTTGAAGAACAGGAAATACTTTCAGGTGAGTAGGGATCAAGACGCGCTTCCTGGCGAATTTTAAATCAAACTCCGCCCTCCCCCGACAGGCCCTGGAGCTGTACAACAAAAGCATATGCTACGCGGAGCCCAATTCGGAGCACCTGTCCATAGGTTATGCCAATCGGTCGGCTGTCCTTTTCGAGTGGAAACGCTACCGGGAATGCCTGGCCAACATCGAGCTGGCACGAACGGCCAACTATCCGGCCAGGCTGAGTCACAAGCTGGACAAGCGGGAAAGAGACTGCCAGCAGCTGTTGGAGCAGCAGCGGCCTGACGTGGTGCCCTACGAGTTTAAGCTCGGCTTCGATCCGCACGCCCAGGTGCCGCATATCGCAGACTGCCTTGAGCTGCGAGAGTCCGCCGACGAGGGACGATTTGTGGTGACCAACAGGGATCTGGTCGTAGGCGATATGGTGGCCGTTGAGCAACCGTTCTGCTCCACCCTACTTCCGCCCATGCGGTACATCCGCTGCGCCACCTGCAAGCGGGAGAACTATCTAACCCTCATACCCTGCGACAGTTGCTGCTCCGTGATGTTCTGCTCGGAGGAGTGCAAGCAGCAGGCCACGTCCACCTACCATCGCTACGAGTGCCCGATTATTGACTTTCTCCACCGAATGTTCAACAAGATCCACGGCATCGCGCTGCGCACCACCCTGGCCGCCCTGGATCTCTTTCCCAGTATCGAGGAGCTGATGACTTTCTGTGACCAGCCGCAAAATCAGCACAAGTGCGCTTTCGACCTGGACTACGGGCAGCTGACGCGGCAGGAGCAATATCGGGCCATCCACGGTTTGGTGACCAACCAGCACCTGCGCTCCGTCTCCGATCTCTTCCAGCGCTCCGTTGTCTGTGCCGTGCTCAAGCACTTTATTATCGAATATACGCCACTCAAGGACTATTTGGGCGGCGAGGAAGGAATGAATTTCTTCACGGACCTACTCTTCCGCCATCTGCAAACGTCGTCATCGAATATGCACGGCATCGACCTGGTTGAGCAGGTTAACGAGACAAAGGACGACCAGACGCACTCGTCCGGAGCTTATGCCTTCCTCTCGATGCTCAACCATTCGTGTGCGCCGAATACGTTACGGATATACGAGGGCACCAAGGCGTACCTATTCGTCCTGCGGCCCATCAAGGCGGGAAATGTTCTCTATGACAACTACGGGTTAGTATCTATTATTGAGGATATTCAAAAGTTTGGACTAATAATATGTAAATCTATTTCAATGCCCGCTGCAGCGCCCACTTTGCCATCTTCAGCAAGCAGCAGAGGCTGGACACGCTGTCCATGCAGTACCGCTTCGACTGCAAATGCGAAGGCTGCGAGCTGGACTATCCCACCTTTGGCCGGATGCCCCACAAGGCAACGGTGCCATCGGTGACTGACGATACGGACATGAAGTCCTTGGGCGCCTACAACTATGACTTTGCGGCTAGCAACTATCGCAAGTACTGCGACTTTCTCACGCAATATGGAGCTGCCTATCCGTGCGAGCAGATCAGTTCGGCGGAGGAGTGCCTGAAGATGGCGCTGCATATCATGGTGGACGCAGTGCCGCTCAAGGCGAAGATGTAATCTGACCCGCTGGCCGCTGAAGCAATCATCAACAACCACAACAAAACAACACGGACGAACTTTTCCTTTGCTGACTCTGACTGCAAGAATCGTATTAGCGAGACACACATACACAAACGCGAGGAGTAATTGATAACTATAAACACATGTTGTTGCCATAAGTCTGTAGCATAGGCGCGGCATCGAGATGAGAAAGGATCACGGATCACAACCGAAATTTTTATATTTGTAATTGTACATTTCGACCTTTGATTTTTCTATTTTTTAAATCCGCCCCCCAGCATCCTCTCCAACCCCCATTTTCACACAAGTCTTAAGCTCAAAGTTCTAACTTGATTTATTTTTTGATCACAACAATGTCTTCGATGAAAACAAAAACAAACAAAGAAACAAAATGAGAACTTCTATAGAATGCCCATGGTCGTTTTTATAATTATTTTACAAAAAAAAAATGAAAAAAACCCACTGAAAACTGAACGAGAAATACAAAATTTTCTAACTGAACGCTCCTAAGGCATTTTGCTGTACAAATCGAGCAGATTCTGATTGAGTGTCGAGCCCCTGGACATTGCCATCGCAGCCTCACTGGAGGATGAGGATGGAGTCGTGGGTTGGAGCTGGACAAATTCGCAGTCGGTGGACGACGAGGACGAGGGTTCATCGAAAAGGACACTGCCGAAGGCCTGCTCGAACTGCTGCTGAAACTGGCGGGCATTGATGGGTTGCAGATCATCGACGCTGCCCGACGAATGGATGTTCAACTGGGCCGCCAACTGATCCATTCTGTTGGGCTCCCTTTCGAGCTCTCGCTCTCGCTGCTGCTGCTCGGCACTCTTCACATAGATATTATCCCCTGCCGTTTGGACAAAGTCCGCAAAGTATTCCTGATCCACCTCTTTGATGAAGCTCCCATCCATGGCCTGGAAGCCGAGGCGTATTAGCAGCGAGATCTTCGTGTTGAAGCACTGCAGCCAGGCTCTGTTCGTCTGGTAGATGGACAGCTGTGCCTCCTCCCCGCAGGCATTCCAAAAGTCCAGCAGCGTGTTCTTAGTAAAGTCAATCAGCATGTGCCGTTTGGCATCCGGATACAACCTGTTGACCGCCTCCAAATGCCGGAAGGTTATCTCCAGCAGGTGGTGCTGATGGCGGGAAACGAACAACTGCCACTTGTAGACCACGGTCATGAGGTTCCACAGCTTGGCCATCGACTGTTCATCGAGTCTCATTAGCGAGCAGGTGGCGATATCATTTAGCATGAACTTGCAGTGCTCGGCAGTTAGGAGCTGGGCGTTGTTGTGCTTGGAGCCGTTAAGAAGGGAGTCTATGAACTTGGGCTCCAGCAGCACCGTGGTCACATCGTGGATAACTGGATAAGGATAAAGGGTCCCACATTAAGGACACGTTTAAACCTAACGACTCATCAAAGGCAGATAAGCGCCAAGAATCACGAATTATCCACCTTAAATACATATACCTTTATGGTTTTGAGCCAGTATTCTCATCCTGAACTTGACTGCTCACCTTGCATCGACTTATCCTGCGCGATTTGCTGAGCTTTTAACCGCTGATCGATCACGTAGAGCATCTCACATCCCAGATTGACCAGGATGAAGACATTCGCCCGAGGATTCGACAGTTGGTGTGGACTAAACTTGGCCATTGTGTTTTGGGGGCGACTTGAACTATCGGATGGCGAATGCGAACTAAACATCTGAACCGAAGTCTTTGGGGAGCACGCAAGGCTTGAAACCCAAACCCGGTCTCTCGCACACACACCGATGGCTTATTGGATTTTTGGTTTCCGTGCGGACTGCCGCCGGCCCCAGGTCTGCACCTGGAGAAAATCAAGCGACAGTGAAAGTGGAATATTTTAGGACTTTCAGGATTCACATATTTTGAAAATTAGCCAAAAACGAACAGGAATTTCGGGTCCTTAAGATATATAAACATTATTTGCATTCGTCCAAATAAATCCTTTTAATATTCGGTCAAATTTTAATATAAAAAATCTATAAATTTCATTAAAGGTAAATTGTTAACCATAAAAGAAAACTAAATGTTTCTCTCACTGCAGAGCCGCATTTGATGGCTTTATGAGAGCCCCGGGCAACGTCTTTCAGTGCAAACAATAACAAAAGCCAGTCCACAGCGACAGGACAGACGTCAACGTGTATAATTATGGAAAGGCAATGGGGGAAGGAAGGACTCCCTACCTACATCCCTCCTTCACTTGCATGGAGCACTAAAATTTATTGATTTATAAATTTTCATTTCAAACGCAAGGCAATTATCATGGAAATTATGGCAGCAGGTTGAAAAGTTAAATCGTCGCTGGCCCTATACTGCCATTAAGCCAATGTGGTGAGCTCCCACGAGCTGCAGACTTGTCTGCTAATGTAACGACCATCGGAGTCAAGTGTTGTTGTGGGGGTGGTTGGCCGCCCACCGCGAATGTGAGGCAAACACCTGCAGCGAAGGTCGCCCGGAAAGGAAGCCGGAAGTTGTGTGAATTCAGCACACCGCAAGGGGCGGCCCGATTTCCATAAAGTTTCCAAAGGGAAACGTTTAAGCGAGAGAATAAAAATGTTCGTAACTGCCACCAAATAAGCTTTATAATTTCAAAGATCTGTAGTATAGTTAACTGAAGTAAATAAAGTAAGAGCTTCGAAAATGGGACGAAAATGTATTTTAAGTATATCAAGCAATATTCAATTTAAGCCAAATGAAGCTACGTATTTTAAAAACAAAATAATAGATTCTTACATTCAAACAATATCGTTTCGATATAGTTATCGATTTTACCGCGATTTGAATCAATGGGACCAGAGACGACGCCAGTTGAAATTACCATCCTTATATTTGAAAACATTTTATTCGATTTGGAAGTAGCAAAAATCACAAGATAATTGAAATGATTGTAATTAAATTATCTTGAAAAAACTTAATCCATTAAGGTTACTCCTTCAGCCTCTTTCCAGGAAAATATTATGACGTTTTTTGTCATTTGCAGAAAACAAAAAAAAAGGATGCTTGATAAATTAATTTCACAATTGGGATTTCATCTAAAGTAAAAAAAATACTCGAGTGAACACATAATTATGTAAATAAAAGGTAACAACGCACCTAATCGTCCTCCATAGGTACAAAATAAATTTCTTCTTCAAAATCATCTTCGTCTGAGTCCTCAAAGTCGTCCAAGTTCCAGTCAAAGGGGTCGACGTTATACTCTTCGATTTCTCCTCCAAAAAAGTCTCCCAAATCGCCAATGAGCTTGTTCTTTCTTTTATTTGGATAATATCCTTTGGTAACTTGCCTGAGTGCTGCCATTTGAACAGATGATTTAAGATATTTTTAACTAACTAAAATTGATGTAAGATATAACCGAAAAAAATAAATAAAAAAGGAAGCGAAAAAAGGAGCACCCTGTACAAAAATACTGCAACTTGTGGGTGAAAAATACCAAAAATTGTATGTTGGTCAAGGTTGTGATGGTTATAAAAACGACGCAGCAGATGATCGGTGGTGCGGTCACATTGATTTCCATGGTCCAAAGGGCGATTTAACAAAACACTTGGCCAATCGCAATAATTATGTGGAGAAACACAATCCTGAGCAGCAGCAAGCTGGCGGTAAGTGGTGGTGCTGCCACATCCTGCCGACGCCTGGCAGTCGCTACTCCGAGACTAGCAAGCAGCCAACAGCAGCCAAAGGCCAGCGAGAATGAGTCGTTTATGGCCAACATATTCAGAGGATCGCTGGTTGCGAATCAAGTCTTCCCCTACCCGGACGTATTGACCGCCGACCAGAAGGAGCTCACAAACAGTCTGGTGGACCCGTTCGAGCGCTTCTTCGCCGAGGTCAACGATGCGGCGCGAAACGATGCGAACGCCAAGATGGACGACGCCACTGCGGATGCGCTGTGGGAACTGGGCGCTTTTGGCATCCAGGTGCCAGCGGATTACGGCGGCCTCGGCTTGAACAACACCCAGTATGGACGCCTGTGCACAATTGTAGGCGCCAACGACCTGGGACTAGGCATTACGATCGGTGCGCACCAGAGCATTGGCTTCAAGGGAATACTGCTGTACGGGACGCCCGAACAGAAGCAAAAGTACCTGCCCAAGGTGGCCACCGAGAAGGTGTACGCGGCCTTTGCCCTCACAGAGCCAAGCTCTGGCTCCGATGCCGGTTCCATTCGCTGTCGCGCCGTTAAGAGCGCCGACCAGAAACATTACGTGCTAAACGGTTCCAAAATCTGGATATCTAACGGAGGCATTGCCGAAATCATGACTGTATTTGCTCAGACCGAGCAGGTAGACCCCAAGACGGGCGAGAAACGGGACAAGGTGACCGCGTTCATTGTGGAGCGATCCTTTGGTGGCGTGACCAGTGGTCCGCCCGAAAAGAAGATGGGCATCAAGTCATCTAACACGGCCGAAGTTTACTTTGAAGATGTGAAAATCCCTATCGAGAATGTGCTGGGAAAGGAGGGAGATGGCTTCAAGGTGGCCATGAACATCCTAAACAATGGTCGCTTCGGCATGGGCGCAACGCTGTCGGGAACGATGAAGAAGTGCATCGAACTGGCCACGGCACACGCTAACAATCGGGTGCAATTCGGGCACAAACTGAAGACGTACGGCTCTATCCAGGAGAAGCTCGCCCAAATGAGCATTCTTCAGTATGCCACCGAGTCGATGGCATACACCATTTCACAGAACATGGATGCCGGCAGCAAGGACTATCATTTGGAGGCGGCGATATCAAAGATTTACGCCTCGGAAAGCGCCTGGTATGTCTGCGACGAGGCTATCCAGATACTGGGCGGCATGGGCTACATGATGGACACTGGACTCGAGAGAGTGCTGCGTGATCTGAGGATCTTTAGAATTTTCGAGGGCACCAACGACATTCTCCGGCTGTTCATCGCCCTGACGGGCATCCAGTATGCGGGCTCGCATCTGAAGGAGCTGCAGCGCGCCTTTAAGAATCCGGCCGCCAATTTGGGTCTAATCTTTAAGGAGGCCTCAAAGCGGGCTGCCTCAACGGTAGGCCTGGGCGGCACAGACCTCAGTGGTCATGTAGTGGACGAACTTCAGCCATATGCCAAGAAAACAGCCCACTGCATCGACCTCTTTGGCCAGTCCGTGGAGGAGCTCTTGTTGCGCTACAACAAGAACATTGTGCACGAGCAGTATTTGCTGACCCGGCTGGCGAATGCCGCCATAGACATATACTCAATGGTCGTGACACAGTCGCGATCATCTCGCGCCGTCAAGCTAAACCTACCCACTGCCCAGCATGAGCTCGATCTGACAAAGGCGTTGACCATTCAAGCATCGGAGCGGGTCATCAAGAACCTGCAGGCCGCCACGTCCAGGAGTAGTAAGGCTTTGAATGACAAAATGTCGGAGATAGCCGTAAATATATTGGAAAAGGATGGTGTAAACACAACCGGAGTCTTGGATCAAAATTAGAAAACGAAACTATCATACGAATTTCACATCGATACCTTTTCATTTCTTTCGATAAATAAAAAATGAATGTAATTGAATAATTGTACTATTGCGGCGAAACTCTTCTCTACCAAAGTACTCTTCCAAGTTCAATGTGGGAACGAAGTGTGGGTTCAAAGTCTACGCAGATTGTACGTCAATCGGAACCTTATCATTTATTATAGTCTGTCAGCTAAGTGAGTGATTAATCTTTGAATAATATTCTTCTCTTTGCTATGTTTAGTTTCACTAAAAAACAGAACTATTTGGAATGTGTGTACATCGAGAGAATACACCTATATGTTATATGTCAGCAAAGCTATCAGAAAGAAGAGCAACTGAAACGTTCTATCTAACCCTTATACTGCAGAGGAAAGCTTTATGTTATAGAAGTTGTTAATAAAACAATATCTAAATCTATAAGATATAATATAGATAAACAAAAGACACTACTCACGTCTTCCATGAGCTTATCCAGATTAGTTATCATGGAGGGATACAATTCGATGGGCAGCTTGCGATGCATATCCTTATTGGCTATCTCCTGCTGAACACGCGACACTATTCCCATAGCTAGTTCTTCGTTTATCTGGTTGCCATTCCTCACGCCGATATAGCTTAGTCTGGGGCATGCCCTGAAGACCTTTAAGATCGCCTCGTTGCTGACTCCGCAAGAATCGCGTAAGAATAATTTCTCCAGCTTCTTCAGAGTGCCCCTGCCGAACGCATAATTTAGAGATGCGTTTGGTTTAATATGCGGCAGTATGAGAGCACGTAATTCGGTCAATTTCGCAATGTTGCGAAGCACTTCTATAGAGGCATCAACGGCCCCGATTATCTCCAAGCACTCCAGTTGGCTGGCTTTGTGCATCGCCAGTTGCTCAAAGAGCTCTTCGCGAAGTCCCTGCTCTACAAAGACCGACAGGTGCTTAAGGTTTGGTATCTGAGCCACATACTCGTAATGTATGTTACCGTAACCGGTAATCCGCAAGGTCTGCAGTGCATTGCAGCATTTCTGCTTGATCATATTTTCGTATATCTCCGCACTACGGGGATCTATATTCTTTATGTTTAACTCCTTCAGCAAGTGAAAGGTCTTTAGAATTTTTAATATGCGCCTGCCGTTGATATACTGGCAATCGTTTAGCGTCAGAGACTCAATGCTGGAAGGCAACAAGGCCATAGTGTCGCCTATCAAAGGGTTGTGGCTGAGATCCAGTGTTTTCAGCTTCCGCAGATTTCGCAGCCCCCAGAGATAGTGGTCGGATATATTCTGCATGGGCAACACCAGCGTTTCGAGCTGTTCCATCTTGTCCAATACCTTGTGTATGTTAGGCTCCGACCATATGTTGCTGACCACCCTTATGGTCTTGAGATTGGTGCACTTGTTGGCCAGAAAGTCACAGAGGCGATTAGCGTGAATACTCGGCATCATGCCAAACAGCTTTTTTACATGTGCGCCGGACAGTTCGAAAAAGTCTCGCATATCCCACACGGTCATCTTTCCAAACTCGCCCAAGTTCACGGACTTGTGAAGGCTGACAGTGGCCATTTGGTAGACCGCCCTAAAGCGCAGGCAGGTTCTGGCAAAGTGTATCTGATCTGGCAGTGTTAGATAAGCCATTACATGCTGTAGACAATGGTCGTTTAGGCTCATCACGGGCGGCGGTGGGCCAACCGGCAGGTGCCGGGGAATTCCGTAGGCATCCGGCTGTTGCCAACTATCGCTGGCCTTCACATGGAACTGGCTTCCATTCAGACGATAAACTGTGGTGTACAGGACCCTAAAAAGAAGAGAGGTAGACGTGTCAGGCATGCGCGGCTGCCCAAAGCTTCTACCTCACCACTTACTTGGCAGCATCTGTTTTCTCGGCAAAGAGCACGTAGCCGGTTTGCAAGTATCGCTGGTCTAGGTACGGCACAGTCCTTGGCTTGAAAAGCTGCAGGCGCAGCACAGGGCCGAACATGCCAAAAAAATCCTTTAACATCAGTTCGTTCAGCTGTCAACGAGCGTGGAGGAAAGAAACGATTATAGAACCGGACCAAAAAAATGGACTGACATTCGCTACCTTCTGTGACACGGCGTACAACTGGATCTTCTGCACCGGGATGTGGTCCTCGGTGTAGGCCACGGAGTGCTTGAAGTACAATTTTTTTAAGTCTGCAAAACGAGAAGTCAACATTTTGCAAGCCTTTTTTGTGCATCAACCGGCATGGCGTAAACAAGGCGTTCACTTACGCATCTTCGCGGAACAAAGTATGTAGATACTTACACGGATTCTCCATGACCTGAGCCATATTGGTTTAATTTGACTGCTGCTTTGTGAGCTTAAAATTATTAAGTGACACTTTATTTCTAGCGCCAAGGCAATCGTTGCATAAGTGTGACCACCTCTCCTAAAACAGTATATACTCACAACTGCGTCGATTATATCAATACCTATCGATATATCGAATTCTATTTTTTTAAATAAATGAAAGCCAAAAAACCATTACTAAGTAAAAAAGGGATTAACTTAAATTCGGATAGCTTCTTTGTCATAGTTTTTATGAGTTTAAATAATCTGTATACTTTATTTCATTAATATTCGTTTCAATTTTTCTTAATTTTATAATGCAACCCTTTTCTAATTCTTTCTATGAATTAGGAACTAAGGATTTTCTCAATTTTAATTTAAATAAGAAAACAAAGCAATGCGTTGTCTCAAGAGACATAGATTCAAAGAACGGTATTTCACGAATTACAAGATTTAAAATCAAAGTTAATGTTACTTTTTTGAGCCTTTCCAAAATCAATTAAGAAACGCACACTCCACATATTCTCTTAACTTGAACATTTATTTTCGTTAAATATACTTCTGTGCTTTTGAAAAGCGTTCAACAGTACCTACTCCCTTTTTCTTGTAGAAAAACTCCTACGACAATGATATAATTAAATATTTATATACAAAATGTACAAGGTTGATTTACAATTAATATTTGCTAGTTGATTTCAGTTGATTTGCGGCGTTGCTAAAGTCTTTTCCTTACATATTCAAGTTAAGCTACTATCGCTGCCAGCAGCAATATAGGTTTCTCTTTACAATTTACATTAAATATATATATTTATGTGTATAGTGTAGTGTATATAATTAATTAAGGTATCAATCTCTGGAGCTGTCTAGGTTCTATGATGGTGAGCGCTTGCTTTTGGCCAAAGGTCATGACAGGATCCAGGAGTGTATAATACCTGAAAATGAGAAAAGTTTAGGGAACATAAAATATATACAATGTCAGATGGAACTCACGATTTTCGCCTGGCGACAGGGTTATATGTATGTCCTCGCGACTCAACACGGGCGCTGAAATAAGTCGACAGTTTGTACAACAAATAGGGAAGCGAAGCTTGTTTAAAATTTAAATAACGTTCTTTATTAATTTACTCTTTTTTAGGTGGCTATAAATAGTTATAAACTCTACTTTCGTTTCGCTTAAAGCTAGCGGTTAGAGTTAGTGTCTAAATTAATTGCCAATAACATACATAACATAAATCAAATAGAAATAATTTAAAATAGGACTGCTTAAGCAATTCGTTGACGTCCTTTCGCTTTCGTTTCAATGTCTTTCGGGGCTGAGCCATGCAGTGGAGGTAAATCACCTGCCGCCAAGTTAATTTAAATGCTATCACAGTTTCAATGTCGGAACATGCACAGATCAGGAACAGTCGGAGCAGGAGGGAAGGAAGCGAGCAGCAAGCGAGCATGTTAAGAGAACTTTGTTATGGGTTACGTATGCAGTGCGTACGGCTGCTGGGGCGGCTGCTGCTGCTGCTGCTGCTGATCTCCAGCCCCGCCGCCACCAGCCGCAGCAGTGGCAGATGCGGGGGGAACAAAGTGTAGCATACCCGGCTGAATCCTCACGTAATCACAGGCCTCGCAAATATTCAATTGCGGATGGTTGCGGAATGTACACATGTTGCAGGCCCACGAGTCCAGTGTCTCCTCCGCCTCGGCATCGGAGTCCGACTGGAATTCCTCCTCCTCGGTGACCGCACGCTGTTGCTGTTGCTGTTGCAGTATCTGCTGCTGCTGCTGTTGCACCTGCAGCTGCTGCAGTTGTTGCTGTCGCTGTTGATGCAAATATTGCTGGAACTGATAGTATTGGGCATAAGTTGGAGGCGGTTCCTGATGCAGTTGCTGCTGGGGCGTCAAGCAGGCTGAGGTCGGCGCACTGCTGTGCTGCTGATGCTGCCCAAAGTCCGGTATTGGCTGCCCGGTAGTGGGCACTGCCGGCACCGAATGCAGGCGCAGCGAATTGGGCGGCGCCTGGGCCCGTCCGCCTGGACGCTGTCGTGGCGGCGGCTGATGTTGCTGTTGGCTGGCGGGTGCCGAGTTCTGGCGATTCATGGAATTGGGTGCGGAACCAGAGACCGAGTCATTGGCCTGGGGTTCTGCTGGGAAGACAAGAAAACATTAGTTTCGATTTCTTAGTTCGCTTATTAAAATGCATTCCTTACCGTTTATTCTATTCAGCAGCTGATTGAGCTGCTGACAGTCCTCGGCCAGTTTTTTGATATCTCTATCCAGTCTTTCAGATTCGCCAACGGGCACCGGCTCCGTGAGGATATTGATTTCCTGCTCCAGCACGAGCAACCGCTTCTTGTTGTCCCTCAAAGCGTTGGCCAACTTGTCGCGACGCTGCTTCTGCCGTTGAATGGTGGCGGCATGGGCTAGGGAATAAGATATACAAAATATAATTAATGTATAAATAAAATAAATAATATAAGGAATATATAATTTAACATTAAAATATGAATTATAGATAGAAATTGCTTCCATATATTTCATTGGAATATTGATATATCGCATTTATGGATTGATATTGATACAGCATCAAAATATTGAAATTCCCTGGAATCCCTGTTCTAGAATGCCTTGGCAACAAGTTTGCAAGATATGTATATACATATATTCAATTCCCAATTTCCAAATTCCATTTCCAATTCCAAATATTTCCCCCGCGTCGAGATTTATATATTTTTACTGTCTAATACCTCACATTTTATTACTCTGTTTTGCTGCTAAAATATTCAAGCAATTCCTGCGGCCAAAAGGCAACTTATATTTAAATAGATAAATTTAGTGAAAATGCGCAAGCAAAAATCAATCTAATAATAATTTATTCCTATGAAAAAATAAGGTAAAAATAAAAATATACAAAATAAATACAAACAAGAGTCTCTGTGCGATGCATTTGCCGCGGTGTTTTGATTTTGAATATTTTTAGACGCTTGATAGATTTTCCAAACGGAAATAGCCAGCAAAAGCAACAGCAGGGCAGTGGGCCAAGGGATCTGTGATCTGCGATCAATGCGATCTGTGCGATCTAAAAGATTATGCTGTCTTAATTGATCATTTAATTCGCTTGAGAGAAGCTCTTATCCGAATTCCATGAACGACATTTTAAGTGCTTTTCTCGTGATCGTGTCGCGTGATGATTAAATGTCAAAGTGTAAGTGCCTGACTTTTTTGGGCCCACGCTGCGTATACTTAATACTTTGGTGGTAATTAATTGGCAGAGATTTTCCTCACACTCTCTCTCTCTTCTGGCTTTTCTCCCACACATTTCGCCATGAACTTGAACGCCTCGCAGAGTGAGAGAACAGTCAAAGCAAGGCGTAAAAATAAAATTAAAAATAAAGAGAGTGAGAGGGAGAGCGAGCAGGAGAGCCAAATCTAGATAAAGGTGGAGGAAAACCCACGGGGGAAAATGGGTGAAAAAACATGGCCAAAGTGAGAAGCCAGACAAAAGACATTTCAATCTATAAATCCACCAAAAGCGTGGGCGTTGCAATAGATGTACATATGTTACATATAAACAGACATTATTTGCAAAAAGGGCAATTCAAAATGCAACAAAGTAGAAAATTATGCTAACTAATTGGAGGTCTATAAATATTGTAGCTTGTGGCAGGGGAATTACCTTTAATGAAGCATATAAAACCCCTAACATATATCTATAATCCACTTAGACATGGACTGTTAAAAGCTTAAGTACATTTCACTTTGTTAAGTTCTTCTCGCTTTCACATTGTGGTGAAATGTAACCTTTAAACTGTAATTAAATTATTGATTAGTATTTGTATTGTTTGTTTGGGAAATTCACTTCTTGTTTAGATCTAAGAAAGCCTAGGAAATCCTTTGGTAAATACTTTTCTTTAATTATGACGTAAAATCATCCCACAATTCTCCGTTTGCTTTTGTCATTCCAATAACCATTCTCTATATAAATATATATCTCTGTGCAATACTGATAACCGAATGATTCTCTTCATTGTACTTTATGACGTCAATATGGTTTAATTTCATTTATTTTAAGCCGTTCACTATTCCTCGGAGAGGGGGTTACCCTTTGCAATGTCTCCTCGCATTTATCCCACTTCGAAATGTGCTCATTGTTGGTGGGATCATAAGACAAGCCCAATGTTCGTTCCTTTCAGCCTAATTCTATTTCGGGGCGTAATTCGATTTCCTTATCAAGTGTAAACAATATTGGGCGAGAACCTGCGAAACTGATAAGCGAACTAAGGGGCAGGATGGAGCCCCAACTACGACGTCGTTTGGCTGGGCCGATAAGCTTTGATGGTGCTTCGGGAGCACAATAATAACAAGAATGTTGTGGAAATGAAAGAAACTGGGAATACTCTTTTAATTTCAATTATAACAATAAATTGAAAACATTTTCTTATACAATTAAGGTAAGCAGACTGTATAAATTAGTTAGGGGTTAGTGATAAAGTCAATATCCAGAGCTTGTCCCTATATTTTTCAATATTTATCATTTCAATATATACTCTGACTTTTCTCTGAAATATATATATGATATTTTCCCTAGAGAGTTCGCATAACATAACACCTTCTTATAGAGTATTTCAATAGAAAACAAAAAGCACTTGCCCATCGCACACGTGTCTAAAAAGGCCAGAGATTCCTGCTCTATACACACAGATATAACCCCCCATGGACTCACCTTCGCGATCGCAATCCTCTAGAACTCCAACGTACAGCGGCATCGTTGGGCTGCTGTCCACGCTGCTGCTCCCGTTGCCATTGTTGTTGTCGGTGACCACATGGTTATTGCTGTAGTTGGAGGCCACTATGTGATTTTGGGCCTGCGTGGGATACGGGAACACATCCATTTGCATTTCGTCGCCGTGCCCATCGGATGCCAACACTGCAGATGCGGCAGCTGATGGCGGCGGTTGATTCGTTGGTGGAGAAGGAGCCGCCGCTGCCGCCGGGTCACAGCCTAGTTCGGTGTAGGGAACCCGCGGACGAATGCAGCCCGCACTAAAGACACTGCCCTCCTCGGTCACCGTCAACTGGAAATTCTTGTGAGTGCCGCGACGCGCATCAAAGCTAACACTGGAGTAGGTTATCCCACTGCCTTGGCCACTGGGCGCCGGACCGGCTGTGATATCGATGGCCGACTGTGCCGGTCCAGTCGTTGGCTGGCGCAGGGTGAGATTGAGCGAGGTGAAACTTTTGCGTCCGCCGGCAGCTGCCACCGGTGACGCTGCCGAGCTGGGCGAGGGTAACGGCGGCGTTGCTATCGTTGGCGGTGACGTCGTGGTCGTCAAACCACTGCTGCTGCTGCCGCTGCTTGTGAGGAAATCGCGCGCGTACGGTGGCTCTGGCTGAAGCGTAATGACTGAACGATGTCGCACCGGAGAGGGTTGCTGTGGCTGTAGCTGTAGCTGTGCCTGCGGCTGCGGCTGCGGTTGAGCCGTGGCTATCGGCGCTCCCTCCACAGCTGTAGTCGCTGCCGTTGTTGGCGATGATAAGAAGACAGCCGCGTTGAGAGAGAGCTCCGATTCACTGGAGCTCATGGGACTGGTGAGACAGGAGGAATCGTTGGAGAAGCTGCCGGGCTTGGGATTGGGATTTGGCTTGGGCGGCGGCGGCAAGGGTGGTGCACGGCGCAGCGGCTTGCTTAGCGACGTGGGCGTCAGCTGTTGCGGCTGCTGATCCTTCTGATGACGCTGCTGGCGCTGCTGGATCTTCTGCTGAAGCTGCGTGCTGACCTGCCGCTGCAGGTTGAGGGTGGTGGGTCGTGGCCTGGGCTGTAGATTGGCCTGGGAGCTGGCACTCCCGCCACCGATGCCATTGCTCTGGCTAAAATCTGGCTGTGGTGGGGCTGACCGCGAAGGTTTCAGCGGCGTCGGAGGCTTGGCTGGCCTAATCTGTTGCTGTTGCTGATGTTGCTGTTGCTGCTGTTGCTGCTGCTGCTGCTGCAACACTTTGGCCGGATAGCTTTGCACTGGGATGGGGTGCAGGGCCAGCTCCTTCCTCAACATCTGGATGCAATTTTCGCGCTGATGACAATTCTCATTGACGCATTGCGTCACAATGGCATCGGGTATCGTGGGGAACTCCTGCTTCATTTCATGGAAGAGGTGCATAATACTAATGTTGGTGCAATGGCAGCTCAGCTTGGCCTTGCCGGCGGCGGCAACGGTGGCTTCCTGTGGATGCTGTGGCTCCAGCAGCTCCAGCTGCTCATTGCTTCCGCAGCGACTGCCGCCGGGACTGTTGGGATTTGGACTTTGATTCGGATTGGGATTTATGCTGGTGCTCGAATTGTGCTTTTGCTTCTGTTGATTCTTCCGCTGAAAGTGCTGGTTTATCGCCTCGGTTAATTGGTTCACCTGGCCGTTCGATTGCTTGACAATCCCATTCACATGGCTCACATGGTGTTGGGCGTTGGATCCGGGCGGCATTGGTGGTGTGGCCGCCATTTTAGGCCATCATCTGTCACAGCTGGAGACCTGGGGAAAATTATAAAAGAAAGAAACCACAGTCAGTCAGGTGTTTTTTTTATTTTTTCTGGCTCTAAACAAATCGATTATTCCACTGCCCGATTTAGAACATTAACTAAGCGGGTTAAGAGTCCTCTTGCTCGTCTTATATATATTTATATATTTTTTTTAAATAATAAAAAAGCTGGCGAATAATAAGCAAAGAGATCTTTCGCGAAATGACATGGGATATTTAAAAATATTTATGACACAACTTCCCCGCTGTGCCATATTGTCTATATCTCAACGGCGGCGGCAAATCCGAAATCGCGGGGCCATTGTCAAGGATGCCAGAGATAAATAATCCGTTCCGCCCCAGCCAAGTGCTCTTTATCGATGGTTAGTTAATAATAATAAAAAAGAAGCATTTATCCCACGTTATGAACTTACATTTTTATACACAATTTGATGGGTTATTAATAAATCAATATATTTGTTTTCAATTTGTATTATTTATGGTTAAATCTGTGTTTATGTGGAAGTATCACAAGTTATTTAATTTGGATTTGCTTCAAATTTCTGAACGATTGTATATACACTTTTGCCACTTTTCCTTTCTAATTCTTTCTTTTCATGTTTATTTCCAAAATTTTCCAGCTTTCTTTGGTTTCTTTTTAAACATTAATAATGAAATGTTTTGATTCCTTTTTGATATTTTTTTGTTTTTGTTTAATTATGAAAATCACACGCAGTTCTCGCGCACAGCGATTTATTCTAGAAATATTATTTCGATTTCGTTCGGGTTTTCTCGGATCGAACGCGTTTGAACGCTTTAAATGCCTGCGAAGAACTGACAAAACACAAATATCAGAAAGGCCTAAGAATCTTCACAGAATATACAATCGAATTCTACGGAGAGAAGAAATGTTTGTGAGAGGAAAAACAAAGGAGAGCGTAAACAACAAAATAATAATAATCTTGAAATTCGAACTAAAGAGGCGAAATGGAATTGTTTTTCACACCGAAACATTAACATTAACAAATAATTAATTACTTTGTGTGGTGCTGGTGTTGGTTTCGTGATCACATTAAGTATACGTACACATTACACATACGCAGGGTGGAGCAAGTTGGCTAAGAAAATGAAGGTGTAACCAAATAAAAGAGCCCGTAACGAATCAATTAAATCATTCAATATTTTTGCCACACCAATACCAATATGTAAAAGAAATTTGCGCTCTTTCTTTTCTTTTCTTTCTTTTTGTTGCTCTCTAGTATAAAAATAAATTTTTGTGTGGGTGTTTCCCACACAGCCATAGCCACGAAAATTGAATGAAATATTTGAAACGAAACAAAAAACAAAAAAAAAAGAAACAAAACTACCTCGCACATATAGAAAACAAAGGCGAGAAATAAAAGCTACAAAAATTAATGATATGTTGAGGTGAAAGAGTTGAAGACGAGGGAAATTAATAAAAAAGAATGCGAAATGGAAATGCGAAAGCCCATCAAGGGGGATAAACTTTTAATGGCTGTCCATCAGCGTCCAAATGAAAATCGCTTAAATTAGCCAATAGCTTAGCCAAGTATTAGAACCGCCCTCGCAGCTCAGCGACAAAATGAACAAGTAAGAAAGCTATAGGTGAGTGGGATCGACTTGAAGATACCTGGTACTCATGAAATTAATCTTGTTATAGTCAAGATTTTCATTCTAAATTACCCAAATTTAGTTTAGTTATATTATTTCTATATTTATTCCGATAATAAATCAAGACTTAGGGTCAACAAGTTACTCTCAAAGTCTCTGAAAAATTGTTATCTCATTCTAAATCGACTCTGCTGGTGAGGCCACCGTTTAGTTATAATACCCGTGTACTATATGGTATAAAATATATAATAAAAACAAATATTTAACCGAAACCAAATCATGTCACAAATGTGATAAAAAAAAAGAAAACACCAATGGTATATAATTCATTTAAAATACAGCTCGATGGCGCCTTTAAAATTGGCCTGCAAAAAAGCATAAATAATAAATTATAATTTTACATATATATCACTGTTCCAGTCCCCATTTCGTTGTTTATTTTTAATTTGTTTTTCTTTTTTGATAGTGATAACAACAGACATTTTCGAGTTGCCTGAGTATATTAAGAAGCCATTAAAGATAAATCTCGGACCAGAGAATTATGAAAACAATTCCTCTTGTTCCATAAAATTCCACCATTATTCTGCGGTGTACTTATAGGCGGAATGGATGAGCTTGTATGAGAAACACGTAAATTGCGATCTGATATTTGAAAATATTTAGCGTATAAATATAAACAAATTCTCCTCTTTTTTTTTTTTTTTTTTTGGTAGGAATTTCTTGAGGAAAAGAGATCTAAATGGGGGTGTGATGGGGAAGGCAATGAAAATTCATTTTCTGTGCTCTTTCGATTGCTACGTTTTGTTTGCCAGCCTTTCGTCTGCCTTTCTTTATTCATTATTTTGTTTTTTTGTTGTTTTACTTTATTCCACCAAGCTTAGCCCCTTTCTCCTCCATTTCCCTTCTTCTTTATAACGGGTGGCAGACAAACAACAACAATTATATAGGGGCGATCGACTGCAGACGTAAACGACCTTCACAATTAGCCAGATAGATATAAAGATATATAGAGAGATATGTATATGCAGGGCGGATAGAAGAGATACACCACAGAATGCACAAGCCAGAAAATCGGAAATCGACGTCAAATATTTTTCACAGCCTTTAGTATATATACGAAATTGAGAGTACTTCATATGTGGAATGATAATGCCATAGATATGGGTACAGTGCGTAGCATGTATTCTAAATTAAAGCAATATCATCTAAATACTAAATCATATAAATACATATTTTCTCATTAAATTAGTTATTAAGGTTTATTATTTATTAATATCTATTAATTGATATTCCAATTTTGTTTGTTTATTTCGAAACTGAGAGAGTGGTAATTATTGTTCCCTTTTTAAAACCTCAACTTTCACAATCAAAATATTTATTTTTTCGTAACGCACTGTTTTTTTTTAGTTTACTTATATTCTACAGGTAAAAAGATCATTTGTCTTCTTCTAAATATCGTATTTTATTTTTTGTATGTTTCCCGAGGACACGCAAAACAAACATAAAAAACCTGCTAAGAGCCATAATAACAACAGGAAAAAAATAAATAAAAGCAATGAGAACAAAAAAAAAATACAAGTTCGCACTGTGTGCCAAAAACACACAAATTGAAAAACAAAAAAACCCCAAAAAAAAAAGTTTACAAAGTCATTAAAATTATGGCAGAAAACACACACACAAGCACGATTGTTTAGGTATCATGGATTTGCGAGAGGGAGTGAAAATTCGATGGGTGGTGGCTACGACGGGAAAACTCTTGTAATTAGTTAGAGCAAAATTTCCATTCATTAAAATGCCTTTTTGTAATATTATTTGGCCGACGGGCGGGGGTAGTATACATAACATATATGAGGGCGCGTGTTCTTTGGTCAATTTACATGGGGAAATTGTCTTGTGGGATTTTCCAATGATTACATTTTGCATTTTCCGAGATCTCTAAAGAAGATCGCTGAGAAAAAAACTTTGATACAGCTATTGATTATCATTCAATACATTTATATTTGGGTGTTTGATTATGATACCTTTCCCTTTAAAGCTACATAAATTATTAACTATGGAAATGCATGCTCACATAATTCTCTATAAAAGTAGTCTTCAACTCAGTATTTTAATTAAAATCCAAGCTAGTTATATTTACTTTTCTCTTTGTTTGATTTGCAAGCCATCTATAAAACCCTCTGTCTATCAAACTTCTTAAAGCGATCAAATCTTCAATAGATCAGGGGCTTAGCCATCCTGTCAGTTCCATGGGTTTTGTTTTTAAGACACCCCGAAGACGTGAAGGTATCGATGCAGAGCATATTGACCGGAAATCTCGCCTGTCTGGCATGTCAAGAAATAAATATATATATATATATATAGAAATAACGAAAAAAATTACCAAAAATATTTCGTTGTACGAAAATAAATTGCAAAAGGAACTAGACATTCGTATAATAGTACTACTTCCCGCACCTTCAACTTGGATTCGGAACACAAAACATATGGACAACAAAAATAATAATACGAGATAACAGAATGTAGAAGCTTCAAGTAAATAACATGGAAAACAACTTTCACTAAGAGACTGCGACTGGGACGGGAAATTATCAAAAAGAACAACAACAACGAAGAAGTGTATGTGGAATTGTGAAAATTATAAATCAAATGCAAAGACATGAAATGAAATGGAAGCGAGTAGAAAACACACAGGCACACAAAATACCAAAAGACGAAAAATGGAACGAAAATAATTTTATTTTGTATTTTGGTGCCTCGCCTGCTTTCCTTTTTGCTTTTCTTGCCTCGCCAATAATTTGAAGAGGCGTTTTGCGGAATTTTCTGCAGACGTCAGGCCTTGACGTCATTGGCGTCTTCTTCGAGAATTGGAAATGGGCATGGGAAATCGGAATCGGAATCGCGATCGGTCTTCGCCATTCTGCCTGGAAGTGGGTTCGGTTCGGTCGTCTTCAAATCCTTTCGCTCCTGTCCCCCAAATTGACCATGCAAAGCCCCTGCATTTAATTATTTATTTACCCACGCCCGGGTTGCCTTATTTCTTTGCTTTCCAAAAAAAATGTGCAAATAATCAACGCGGAGTTATTTTTAGGCCATGTCCAAATCCCAACAGGTGTGGCGCCGGCGGCTACGGCGGGGCCTTGAGGGGGAAGCCCGCCTTATCGCCAACGATTTGTGTCTCCTCCTCGCAACAGGGGGACGACACACACACACACACACCCACTATAGTTAATATATTTTATACGACACCTTCCCAAAAAAAAAAATATAACAAAAAAAGATTGAACACAATTCCATGCACACAGACACGGCGATAAGATAGATTTGAAATTCATGGGAAAGTTTTCATTGAGGGCGAGGGTATTTTCTACTGTACGGATACGGTATTGTATATCATTCCAATGGGATATAAAATTAAATAATAATATGTATTGATAGTAATTGTTGAGATATTTTTTTCTTACAAATTCGTGAGGATAATAATATTTAATTTAAGATACATTTATTTCTATCTTCAATTCAAAAGCTTGTTACGCTATGAAGGAGTCATTTGCGACCCTATAAATCATATATATTCTTGATCAGCAACAACAGCCGAGTCGATCTAGCCGGCTCAGGATGAAAAAAAAATGGACAAATTTTTTCAAAATTTTATAAGGGGTTATTACATTGTTAAAATTTTCAAAAATGGCAAAAAATTAGAATTATTTAAATTAGTAAACTTAGTATGCAGATTTGTTAACCTAACAAAAACTAACATAGGACAGCTTTCCGCTTGAAAATTAATTAACTTTTGGTTGAGTTATGATAATTGAAAAACTAAGATTTTCACAAAAAATTATCTGATAAAATTATTGATCTATAGATCCTAAAAGCTACATATTTCTTGGTGATTAATAGTAAAGGAGTCATTTTAAACCCAATAAAACATATATATTCTTGATCAGCATTAACAGCCGCGTTGATCTAACCATGTCCGGTTGCAAAAAATTTTTTCGAAATTTTTTCAAAAAATTAAAATCGTTAAAATTGTTTAAAATTATTAAAAAAAATTCAAATTTTTTTCATTTTAATTTGAGTATACAGATTTATTAACCTAATAAAAATTAGCATAGGAACGCTTTCCGAATTGAAGTTAATGCCTTTTTGGCTGAGTTATGAGATTTTAAAGCTTTGATTTTTCGAAAAAATTGTGATATAAAAATATCGATTCGAAGAATGCAAATATTTAAAGCTTAGTTTTAATTCATTTCTAATTCAATCCCATAATTTATTTTCAAACTGCAAGGGTATATAAACTTTGGCTTCTCGAAATTAGTTTCCTTTCCTGCTTGATATTATTTAAATTTTATTTCTGAAATCTATAACAATTCAAGAGCATATTATCGACTTTCTTAGGCCTTGCTCTTCAGCATGTTGTGTGATTTCTGCTTATCATCCTTAGCCAGTATTATTTTTCCACATTATTTTTTATTGATTTATTATTTGTTTATGTTAATTCGCTTCCCAGCAATAAAATGTTATGCTTCAAGATCAGATTAATGATTTTAATTACATATCTTTCCTAATTATCTAGAATTTTAGTTGTAATTTCTTTACTGGGTTGATCTAAGAAGCTTTTAATGAAACCAAAAAGAGAAACCAATAACTCTATCCAATGTAGATGTCCAAAATAGAAAGGGAATTCTAGTAAGCTACGAAAAACTGATTAATAGATACACATTTACATCACAATCTATCAAAAATTGATCCAAAAAAGTACCGTAAAAAGCTAAAATTTTGTAAAAATAGAAATGGCAATATTAAACTGATGTTGTTGATCTCCCTCAGTCTCACATGCCTTTGGATTTGTGTATTAACAAAATCAACTTTGCAATTGCCGGGAAATTCCCGTAATTACAACAAAAAGAGTCGCATAAACAAAGGCGCAAAGCGAAACGGAACAACAATAACAACAACAGCAACAGCGATCCGTACTTAAGGCAGAGCAGCAGCACAAGTGCAAAAGTTTATGTGAACTTGTTTCCTCAATACGAAAACTAAACCGAAGCAAAAACAATGACCGCTTATTGTTATTGATAGCGGTATGTAAGTATGTATGTTTGTATGTATAAAAATCTAAAAGCACATATGTACATAGAAAATCAATATTTGCACTCTGCGATTAGAAATGCGAAGGTAGACGACCAGTGGGTGGGTGGTCTGAGCGAGGGAGTGTGACGGGGATGTACCCCAACGATTCGTTTACATATTTCCAAAAAGAATTAAGGCCATTTCAATGGAGTTTTTGCTGTTATCAACACAGGCGGAAATACGTACATTCTACGTATGTACATAGATACGTAGTTTACGTACCCCATTCGCATACAGTTACGTGCACTCATACATGCACTCGAACGGAGCGAAAGGGACACGTAGATCGGTGGCGAGTGGCTGTGTTAACGGCACAAGATAAAAACCAGCTATGGCCAGTGTGGAAGCGAGAGAGAGAGGAGGGACAACCATTGCGCGAGAGTGTGAGCATGAGAGCGCATAAAAACAGGTGACATTGGCAGCGACACTACGCAATAGTAGATAAAAAAAAACTCACACAGAGCAGAGACTGATTTGAAAAGTAAAATATTGGGATACTTTGGAGAGCCCCTCCCACCGCCCTTACCCCACATCAAAAACGCATTCACAACTTGTTGCCAGTGGTGTAAATGTGTTTATTTATTGCTTTTATTTTTGCACTACCTCACAGTGATCTATGCGCGCTTGTATGTGTGTGTTGTTTTTCACAATTTTGTTATTTGCAAAGAGCAGCCACCCACCCACACGAGTGCAATTTGCAGGTGAGTGTATGTGTGCCTCAGTAGAAGAAACAGAAATCAGAAATTTGCATCCTTTCTTTCCCTTTTTACTCACCGAAATATTAAAAAAACTCCACGCACGTACGCTGTTTTTCGCTGCTGTTGTCCCGCTCCCTTCCTTTGTTTGTTTTCTGGCATTCAATATTGTGATTTCAATATTTTGTTGCTTTCACTGTGTCGCTCTTAGCACTTTTTTGGCTCGATTTCTTCCTTTGCTTTGTTTTCGTTTCGCCTTTCTCGCGCACTTAAAATCCACGCACAGTCTCGCGGAGAAGCTTAGCTTTGTTTCAATTAATTAATTATTTTATTTGTCGCACTAAAACTTATTAATTAACGCATTTTTCACGTCGTTCTTTTCGCGATCACAAAACAGCAGTGTGACCGGCGCTGCGGAGATGCAATTAACTGAACGGATCGGCAGAAATGTACTAAAATATTCCTCAAATATACCGAAATGCGGCCTTTCGATTGGTATTTTACTATTGTGGTATTTTATTAATATGGCGTATCTGATAGTGTTGTACAACGATCTAATTAGAGTAGTGCTGTAAGCCGCTTTGACGTTTGATTTCTGAATTAGTATCCGAAATTTGAACTATTTTCCATAAAAAAGCAGGGAAACCCTAGAATGAAGACCACTCCCAAGAAAAAAGAGTTGTCCCTCCGCCTGCGGGAGTCGCGGCGCGACGAGCAGAAGCCGGATATCAGCCAGCAGCCCCATCTGGATGACGACGTAGAGTCGGACCTGCCCATACGAGGACGTCCCTCGAAGAAGCTGCTTCTCCAACAGCAACAGCAGCGTCGCCAGTACCAGGTGAAGCTGGAGCCGGACATAAAAACGGTCGCTGCCGCATCTACATCTGGTGCCAGCACCTCTGGGGCTCGCATGAAGGCCCGACGCTCACTTTACAAAAAGTCTATGAACAACGCTGGCGCCTCGCAAAAGGGTGGAGGCGAATCCTATATAATGCGGCTGTTCGAGCGCAGCCTGGACCTCTCCACGTACAAGGATAACACGCCACTTTATCCGATTTGCCGAGCCTGGATGGCAAACCAGCCGCGTAACCCCGCCGTGGCCGCCTATAACACTGACGGCTCTCTGCAGATTCCAAAGCGCGAGGACAATGCTGAGGAGATCCTTGCAGGACTGCGCAGTGGGAAGATAAAGGTGCTCACTCATTTGCCAGCGCCAAGATCCACAAAACTTCCCATCATTCCGCCGCGATTAGAGTTCGGCAGAGAGGACAAGCGCCTCCAGAACGCCAGCCGTTCCGACCTGCTGGCTGCCAATATGGTGCGGTGGAAGAAGGTTCGGTCCCACTGGCTGAAGCATGACAAGAAGTACCAGCAAGAGCGGTATGGCATTATTGACCAGATAATGGCGGAGGTCTGCAAGCACCCCACAGCGTAGGATCTGATTGGGTATGCAAGGAAGAGAAGATGACACTGTACTGTAAAAGTCTTGAATAATTGTGTAATTATTTTATATGCCTTAAATAAGTTAATTGAAAAGTCGACTCATTTTCATATGTATTTCCATTTCTCTCTCGTTATTAATAAAATTATGAAAAGAATATATCCAAAATAAGTCCTTTGGAATCATTGTCACATAATTTAGCAAAAACTAAGCCGAAAATCAGGCGTCAAAATACAATATGTACATTGAAAACACAATTTTATATATCATTGACTTGAATAAATGTTTATTTTGTATTTGTAGAATATGCGTTACCCATTGCGGTTAAATTAGTTCTAAGTGCAGAGCTTGGTTTTTGAGTTTTTTGTGATTTCTTCTTATATTTTCCTCTCTTTTTATGGGTTCGGCAAATGCTGCTGGATTGTTCTGGTTCCGGTGTTTGGTGTTCTTGCTTCGGCTCAGCGGGCGTGCGCCTGTCCGTGCGTCCGGTGGTATACACAGCCACAGGCGCACGCACATCTCTCCACCGGGAGGAGGCGCCTACTCGACCTTGAGCAGCTCCACATCGAAAGTGAGGGTGGAGTTGGGCGGGATGACGCCGGGATGGCCACGGCTGCCGTAGGCATAGTCGGGCGAGCAGACCAGCTTGGCGCGCTGGCCGACGCTCAACTGGGCGACACCCTCGTCCCAGCCGCGGATGACCTCGCCCTTGCCGATGGTGAACTTGAAGGGCTTGTTGCGGTCGCGCGACGAATCGAACTGTGGACGGGAAAACCCTCAATTATTAGCATGAAGTTTAAGGAACCCCTAGGTGTCTTTACCTTGGTGCCATCATCCAGGGTGCCGGTGTAGTGGACTGTCACCTTCTGCCCATTCTTCGGGAAGGTGCTGCCTGCGGGCGTACATGGAATACAAAAATGGATGTGTGTGAGCGAGACGACTATAGAGGCGGTGGTAATTTTCCGAATTCTGCACCGCATACTCTATATGCACTTCAGAGGTTAAGCTTGCCGGCATTTTTCGCGCTTTTCCAGTGGAAATCCATCGATCGGCGGGTACTTACCATCTCCGGGAGCAATTGGAACAACTTGTACGCCCATTTCGAATAGTTTTTTACTGGCAAAATACCGAGCGGAAGAAAAAGCACGTTGCATTCGTCGTAGTGTTGCCAGATGAAATTTGGCGTGCACCTAAAAAATCTCGAAGCGGTTGAAATTTGCCACTAAAAAATCCAGTTTTCCCCCTAGGGCTGCCACCGCGTTAAAAAATTTGAAATTGATAGGGTATTTTTTCTCTATTACACTACGGTCACGCTGTTGCTGCTAAAAACATTTACAAAAATTTTCCGGATTTCGGCGATTTAAGCATTTAACGGCTTTTAAAGTGAACTGAAGGGAGAACAATGTCACTAGAGCAACTCGTAACTGTTTGATATTGTGGAAATCCAATTCCAATCAGAATGCGGGATGCTGTAGCGCAACCAGAGCCGGAACCGGAACCCAGCAGCAGTGAAGCAAATGGCAGTTGCCATGGCCAGGAGGAGCAGCGACCGACGGGTTCCGCAGGTTCCGAGCGGGAGGCAGAGGCCAACGAATCTCAGTGCACTATTTGTGGGGTGGTCCAAACTGCGGCTCTCTTGGATCTCCGCTCAAACCATGAGATGCACCGGCGCCTGAGTCGCGACTGGAAGATTCATGTAAGTTTTGCCGCATACTGTACGCTTTTTTAAAGCTAATACCAGACTTTCCCTTTCCTCCAGGCCGACGTAATACGTTCCACATTGCGGGCAATTTGCGTGGACTGCGTCTGCAAGCTGAACATGCACTCGGAGGTGACGCGCTCGCTTATGCAGCGAATGCAGCGGCTGCAGCGCTCTGGCGGTGGAACAGCCACCGTGACGACCACCACACAGCTGCTCAGTCCACCCATTGCCGATGCCGAGGTGTCCACCACTCAGGAGAATACTGCCGCTGTGCCAAGTGCGCGCAGCTCACGCTCCTCCTGCTCCGTGCTGGAAGTCTACCTCGCTCAGCCCACCGAAACTGTAGGAGAATCCGGAGGAGAGAAACATAGTGCCGCCGCCGAAGGCTGGAAATGGCGTACGCGGCTGGAGTGTCCGGAATGCGGACGCACATACTTTCGGCGAGATTTCTATGCCCAACATATGCGACGTTGCTGCAAGCGAAGGACACAGCCTCGGCCACCGCGCGCCAAGTGCCGGGTGCGAAATGAGGCAGGCATCGACGACGATGAGGATGATAATACTCCGCCCAGGGCGAGGCGTTCGCTGCGCACCTTCCTCTGTCGCCACTGCGATGCGGAGTTCGAGTCACTGACTAGTCAACGGCAGCATGAGCGAGCCAAGCATCTGCAGCGCTTTCCCTGTGATCTGTGCGAGGCGCAGTTCGACACCAAGTACGAGTGGGAGTTGCATCACACCATCTGCCAGGCCAAGAGGGAGGTGGGTACTTATAAACTTGACTTTCAGCTGCACTGCCTTGACTTTGTAACCTTTCCAGGCTCTGGGGCTCCTGCAGCAGGACGAGGAGAGCGGTCCAGCTGCCCTGCCATCCAGGACACGCTCTCAGTCTCGCGGCTGCTCTGTATTCTGGGACAAGTACAATAAGGATGAGAACGGCGATGATGAAGAGGAGGAGACTGAGGAAGGAGATGATGACGACATGGAGGATGCCATGTACACACGTCGCATGAACTTCACCGGGGATTGGATTGTGAATCACAGTCGGAGTAACAGCAACAGTGCCATGAATCTATCGCTGATGATGTACGATGAATACGGATTGGGTGAAACGCACATGACCACTGACAAGGAGTACGGTAGGGTGTTGACTCTGGGCTAGCGCATTCTCATTTTAAACCACTCTGTATGTCTATATGAATCCCTTACAGATCTTTACCTGCTTGATTTGCTGATTACGCAGGTGCGACTGAACGCCTTCACCTGCTTCGTGCCCGCTTGCGGCTATCAAACAGACAGCTTGGTGACTTTGATGAAGCATGACTACCTCGAGCACTGGAAGATGAGCTGGTTCTATTGCCACAAGTGCGGGGATGTCTTTACCAGCAAGTAAGTGGAGCAACATCAAGGGGTTTCTATAGAATTATTTATTTTCTCTTCCCTTCCAGAGTCTTCTTGGACTACCACATGCATCGCCAGAACCGCGGCCTCTACATCTGTCACAAGTGTCGCGATGAGTTCGAATACCAGCACCAACTGGACCGTCACTTTCTGCTCCACAACAAGGGCATCAACTATCATTGCAATTTCTGTCGCTTGGAGTTCCTCAGCGAGGCCAAGTTGCTGGCCCATTGCAAGCGTTGCGGTCACAGTCCCAACGATGAGCCCAAGATCCGCATTGATAGGTCACTAACCATCACCAATTGTCCCGTCGAGGAGACTCCGCTAACCGAAAAGGATCTACGCCTAGCCAGGGCCTACAAGGAGAAAGAGTTATATATACCCAAGGTCGAGATGCCGTCGTTGCGTCCGAAGCCATTGCCGGATCATAAACCCTTTCGCTTTGCCATTGGCATTTGTGAGTTTGATGAACGAAATCCTCCCAACTGTGTGGGTTGTCACTGAAGATAGGAGCTTACTAGAGATTAGTCACTAGATTTAGATAGTGGGAATTAGTAGAAACAATGTGTATTTTTCTAAAATAAATGATGCAGGTAACATTATACGTCACATTTGATTGTATTTAACATTGTTTTCTCTTTTTGCTTGGGGTTTTGATTGAGTTTGCTCAGTTAAATCTTTTCATTAATGCTCTTAAAAAAAACCCCAAAGAGATTAACTTTTCCCAAAGATATATAATAAATTAAGAACGCAAAGGAATTATTTGATTCTTCAGTCAGTTTTATTTAGCGCTCTTTTCGCAGCTCTTTTACATGATGAAAGTCGTGTGTGTGTTTCTAGTTTATAATTTAAATTGCATTACAATTTGTATTTACTTAGGCGCTATGTAATATAGAGTTCGCAGGTGTATATAGGTGAGAGAACTATATGATTCTATGTACAGAGAGTTACTTGGTATAACAACATTAACATTATCTCGACCGCAAGGGGTCCAGGTTTATAATTAAAGAGCCTATTGCATTGCCCCCAGCGCATGTTTTCTTTTTGCCTTAATGTTTACATTTTCTGGTTGTTTAGTGTTTAGTTTTTTAAGCCTAGTTTTGTGTGGTGGCTTAGAACTAATCAATTTGTATGGAACTTATATGTGTAGTTATTTAGGCTTTAACTAAAGGATCTCTCCGAATTATTTATAATTTTATTTGAATGCGTTTTTGTGTGCTGTTGCTCGTGGTACGTTTACATTTGTTTATATTCTTTTGAGTCGCGGTGTCAGTCTTATAAATTCAACCCAGGACGATTTATATAATATAATATATATACTCTTCTATAACAAGGATATACGCTAGTTGAGGTAGTTCAAGTGTTCGAAGAAGATCGAAAATCATAAACGTAAGGCGTTCGTTCGGTTCGTTCTATTATAAATAATCTAGTGCTAATAATTTTTAAAACAAATCACTGGCATTTTAACAAAGTTGTACAATTAGTGTGCAGTTGAGCCTCTTCTGCTCTGTCCTAATGCTCCTCCTGGTCATCCTAGTCCTCCAAATCCTCCTCCTTCGACTGTACTCGCCCCTCTGATCCCCGTTCAGTCTCATGTATAAGTGTGGGTCGTCTAGCTTACTTTTTGTCAGTTGGATCGGCGGGGAGCTGGATGGGGTTTCCCTACAATGATGGCCTACGAGTGCCTATAGCCTAGAGCCTATGACCTATCCTACGGCTAGTCCTACTCCTAACTAATCCTAATCTCTGCTAATATTCTTTTTTTCTTTAGGCACAAAGTGATGATGCTGAACAACAATCTTAGCTTAGTTTTAGTTGTGGTTTTAGTGTGGGTTTGATTTCGTAGTTGACGACGACTGGGACTTGAGGTCTCTCTCTCTCTATCTTCATCTTCTCTGTTCGTTTAAAGCTTCACCAACGCTGGCTCGGCTCTGGTTTTGTCGAGAGCCGAGGGTTAAGGAAAGAAGTAACACAACAAGGGTTCAAAAGTGGGGGGAGTTGGGGGTTAAGCCTGGCCTAATCCAGGGAGTCGAGGCTGTCCGCCGCATACTGCCAGGCCATGGTGAGCGTTAATCAGTCGGCCCGAGCCTGGGCCTCCTCGCCCTCGATGAGTTCCCGCTTGAGGCCCATGCCCAGGGCAAAGGGTGGCGGCGAGTGTGGTGGATAGTCCTCCTGCTCCCGTTCCCTTTCCCGCTCATGCTCATGCTCCTTGCCATTGGCACTGCTGGCATGCATAATCACACCGGCAGCTCCTCCTCCTCCCTCCACATGTGGCGGCTGCGGCGAGTAGGGCGATGCTGGTCGCTCTTTCCTTGCCAGCGACAGATCCTCCACATGCTCCTGCTCGTGATCCTCCTCATCGTCAGCGTCTTCACGCTCATCCTGATCACGCTCTCGCTTGATCAGACGCTGCTCATGCTTCTCCATCTCCAGGTCCATGGCCTCCTGGTCCTGATAGTGACGTCCCGGACTCGGTGACCGCATGCCATGGCCATTCGAACGCTGATCCGTATCCACCGGACTGCTGGACATGCGATTGGCCGCAGCATGGGCAGCGGCGGCCAAGGCCATGGCATGGAGAGCCTCTCGGCCGGCCATGTCACCGCCACGATTCTCCAGAGCCTGCTGCAGGAAGGCATGATCCAGGAGAGCAGCCGCCGAGGGGGGAATGGTGGGCGGCATGCCATGGTGAGCGGGCACATGATCCCCCTTCGATTCACGCTTCAGCTCCGAGGGATGCACATGTCCATGGCCATAGTTGTGGGCAGCAGCAGCTGCTGCCGCCGCCGAATAGGGGAATCCCTGCGAGGCCTCAGCACCGGGAGGACTACGCTTTGGGGTGCGATGGGTGCCCCTTCCGGTGGTGATATTGAGCTTACGCACCTTGTCGTAGAGGGTGCGACTGGGCAGACCATATTTGCGACTCGCCTGGAGTGCACTCATACCCTCACGCACCGCCTGGATGGCACACATCATATCCGCTCGGGTGTACTGCTTGTAGCGCTTCCACTCCGGCTTCTTGCCGCCAGACTGGCCGGTCTCCTCCTCAAAGGATCGATCGGTGTATGGCGACAAGGGCTCCTTATCGCCGCCATAATCAGAGCCATTGAAGCTATGGTTCCTCTCTCCGCCGCCTCCACTCACACCACCGCTCACACCCACTCCGCCGGCCGTCGAGTGCTGAGGATTCTGATGCGGATGCGTGGGTGTCTTCTCGCCATTCAGGATAAGCGGTCCGGGTTGTGAGGAGTCAGCGGGATTGGCCTGAGCCAGGACATTGCGGAGGATCGGTGTGTCACGATTGCCACTGAGCAACATGCTCGAAATGGCCGACAACTTCTTGCGCTTGAGAGGATTCATATCGGCGGCGGATTCGTAAACGGAGTTCAACATGGCAGCGGCAGCGGACGGGGTCATGGGCCACTGGCCGCCAGCGCCCGTCTCCGACGATGGTCCCGACGAAGGTGGTGCCGTCACATGGGTGGGTGTCAGTGGGGGCTCCGAACCGGCTGGACCTTGGCTGCTAGCCGGCATCGATTGCGGCGGATAGTGGTGACTGAAGGCGGGCTGATAGCCGCCAAACTGCGGCGGCGGTGGTGGTGGTGGTGAGCAGCTGCTCGATATGGCGGCACTGGGCGAAATGTGGGTGGATGTGGAGATCACGGACGAGGAGTGGCTGTGGCTGTGGCTGCCACCATTTAGGGGTTTGCCGCCCGCCGTTGAGCTCGAGGTGGGCGTGGCACTGGCACTGGAGCTGGCATGATGATTGAACTTCATCAGGTTGTCGTAGAGCCCCTTAACCTGCAGCTCCTTGGCTGTGCGCAGGATCTCCGGCTCCTGGCTCTTGGTCACCGTCGTCTCACCCGTGTACATATACTGCAGAAGGGCAGCAATTTCGAAACCCTTTACCCCCGGCAGTATGATGCTGCAGTGATCCTGGGGGACATCACGCAATATGTGCTGGAAATATGGCGAATTGGCGGCCAGGACAACGCGATGAGCCTGGAACTGCTCATCGTCAACGACCAATGTGCAGTCCACATAGCTGCCCACCTCGTGCAGGGCATGCAGAATCTGGACCAGATTCGTCTGGTGATTGTTCCACCGCAGGCAGTAGGTCTGACCCACCTCGCCTCCGTTGCCACCTCCGCCGCTGCTGGCGACCGTGCTTCCGGGCGCTGTGGGGCCACCCATCTCTAGGTCGTGCTCCTCCTCCTCCTCCTCCTCCTGCTGCTCCTGACGATGCCTGCGCCTGGGCTCTCGTTCCCGCTCGCTGTTCAGGCGGGAATGATGATGATGATGATGGGTTTGATGATGGTCGGGCTCCTCGTCGGGAGCGGGATCGCTGGTGTTGCCGGTGCCGTGCGGATTATAGACACCGTTCAGACTGGTAAAGGCGGCGCTCAGCAGCGTCGGCGAGTAGAAGGATAGATGCTTCCTGACCTTGAGCGCCAGTTTAAGGCCTACGGATCACCTGGTTGCCTGAAAGCCCGGAGAAGAAAAATATCCAATTAGTATGAGTTCTGCTTCGGTTTTTTTTTCTCTTATTATTACTTTTTTGGCAACGCAAATGTCAGGGAAAAAGCCATTTTCAAATTTCGCATGGGTTGCTAAAATCAACAGGAAAAAGCTGGAAAAGCATCAGAGAAATGGTGGTGATGGTGCCCCACCCCCGGAAGTCAGGTGTGCAAAAAAAAAAGAAAAGAATAAAATACCGGGGGATGGTCCGCCATTTCCACGCATATATTTTTCCCTTCGTTTTTGGCGGAAAATCTTGCTTGTAAAATTTATGCCCCGCTGCTGCCACCCGCCCCCGGAGGTTTATGCGCCATAAAAAAGTGAAAGTGAAAACGGGGGAGTGGATTTCAAGGAGCGAGAGAGAGTGGGCCGGGGAAGACAGGGAAAACGTGTAGGAAAATGGGGCGAAAAAAAATATGCAAACATCCCTGAAAAAGATGTGTGTGCGCGTATTTTTCCGGCTGCTTTTCGCGCGTTTTACGTTTTTATTTTTACGCATACATATTCAAATCTATATGTATAAAATATCCTCCTGGCCTGGAATTGGGAAATGGAAATGGAAGGCAGACACACACACACACACACACACACCCAGAGAGTAAGGGAAAAAATGTAACTGAAAAACTTGCAATAATTTTCATTCAGTATGCCATATGCCCTTGACTTCCCACCGGGGCCTCCTGTTTCGGGACTCAAGTGGACGCCATATGTTGGGATCGTCAACCCGAAATCCGTCCGTCATATGTTGACCAGCCGTCGAGGAGTTGGCATCCCAAAAATCAGCCATGTGGCATGTGTGAATCTCCGGTTACCAACAGGTTTAGGAGCCGAGTATCTCATAGATACTCCCTCGCGCGCTATAATGGCAATCAAGGATGAACAGGGAAATGTCAAGGGGGCGAGGCACCGTAAAAAATACACAAGGTATTTGGCAAAAAAAAAAAGAAACGAAATCAAGAAAATGAAAAGAAGAAAAGAGAACAAAGACCACAAACAAACGATCGCATTATTATTGTCTGCGGGAAATGCGCAAGAGATCGGATCAATTGTTGTCTAGCCATTGTCTGGCCGTCAGGATAATGGGCAACCTGCAGAGAGATCCCGGTCCCCGATCCTCCCTAGTTTTTGCGCAACAGCTCCTCGGGCAGGTAGCAGGTAGCTGGCGAGCTCCTTTTGAGCACATTACAATCATATAATGCCATTTTCCGAGGGCAATGCTTCAACGCCTCGCTTCGTCTTATACACACATTGCGCATACGCCACGGTCGCCAAAACAAAAACAAAAAAGAAGTGTGGAAGGCAGCGCGAAAAGCTCGCGATCGGAAAAGCTTCGTCTAACAGTGCTCGATAACAGTGGCCACCATTTTGTTGGATTTCTCGCTTAATTAAAATTATTATAAGCCGAAAAACTTAACTGGCCAAGCGAACGTCATTGAAACGAAATGCACTTGGGAGGTAACCGGTTTTTTTGGGGCTCTGGTTTTTTTGGATCTGTTTTTTTTTTTCAAAGGGGTTTCCAGTTTCCACTTTGTTGTTGTTTTTATTTTTATTTTGGACACGTACCAGAGTTGGAGAATTGCGAAACAGGCTTATTGGGTCTTATATTTATTAAAATAAATTGTTTTAATAATAAATAGGGGTATATTAAGGGTTTGAATATATGTCATTAGATAGTAACTGCATTTTAAATGGTTAACAGTGTTGTTAAATTAACTGAATTAATTTGTGTTTACCTAAAAACTAGTTAAAAGCCCAATTTGTATTTGAGAATTGTATTTTTTAAAGCATGTATCCAGCAGTAAAAAAATATATAAAAATAGCTTGTAGTTCTTTAAAATTAAAAAAAAATTAATTAATTAAAATTTTAAAATTTAAAACTGTATCAAAAACTTTTATAATTTTCAATAAAAATAAATATTAATAAAAAGTTAAATTATTTCAATCAAAGCCAGATTTTTAAACAAATCAGCTTGAAATAATTTGAATTGAATTTTAATTGGAATATTTTGTAGAAATTTATTTTAATTAACATAAATTTATTTAAAACTAGCACTGCTTCAAGTTGTATTAATATTTTTTAATCCAAATCATATAGAAAACTATTTAAAATATTATAAAAACGGGTTTTTCTAATGAAGTCTTTGAATTATTTCCAATTTCTGCACCAATCTTTGCCATTTTTTTAATTATTAAAAAAAATTAAAATCTTACCACGAAATATTGAAAAATGCCGCAGTTTCGGGCACTTTATTGTATATTTCCAAGTGTTGTTTGCGAACACTGTTTTATTTTTAAATCGGTTTTGCAGTTTTTAAAGCTGTATTTTATTTTGTTTTCAAGTTTGATAACTTTTTGTGGAAAAATGTTTCACATTTGTTGTTTTGTTTTTGTTTTTTGCAGTTTTTATTTTCGCCTTTGCACAAACACACGCACACACAGAGCCGTACACCAACACAAGAATTGCCAAAGTTGCCAAAAAATATTAGATATTTTCTGCTTTTCTTATTTTTTATTTGTAAGAAACTGCGACACGTTTAGCGTTTTGTATTTCAAAGTCGTTGAGTGATTTGCTTGCACGGTGTTGCAGATTCGAGCGCTGAAACATGAATAAAACTGCCACGGTTTTCGTGTGCACCAAGTCATTGAAGACCAAATTTCCCGAGCGCCGCCAGAGCGGGATGGAGCTATGGGAAAACTGTTCGAAGCGCAGGGGAAAACTGTCCTACGCTCGCCACGTTTCCACCCTCGCGCTCTCTCTTTCGCACCGTTGCAGTTTGTCGTATGTGTGCGTATTTTTTTTTTGCGCTTGCACTTGGTTTTGCTCTCTCTCCTGGTCGCTCTCTCTCTCGCTCTCTCTCTCTCAGTGGGTGCGTGTGAGTGCGTGAGCGAGATTGCCGGAGTGCGTGCATGAGTGTGCGACTTGCATATGGCGGCCGCTGTTATTGGACATGCAATGGGAGTGAAAGAGCGCGAAATAGTTGCAGTCTGTGCAGTGTCCCCCTCAGTTTTTCTCGTTTTTCGTTTTTTTTTTTTGGCGACTGCATTTTTTACTTGTCTATATATATATTTTTGATACTTGAATTAAAGCAGGTTGTGGCTGGAAAACTGGTATTTCTCTCCGCCGTTTCGGTTACTGTTTTATTCGTTACTTTACCCCTTGCCCCGCGCTTGCCCTTCTTTCGCGTTGCGTTTTGCCCCCACTCCCGCAAAGAGGTCGCCATTTTGGAAGACAGCCTTTTAGTTTTTCGTTGCATTTTCGGTTTGCCAGACTTTTACCTTTCTTTCTTCTGCGAGGCCCCGGAAAACCTCTTAGTTATGCAAATTCCGTCAAACGAAACGAAAGATAAAGTAACGACCTTCGGCAATCAATGCGTAATTGAATGCATTTTCCCGCTGCAATGCGATAAATTTGCATACGTCTTCGACCTTCGACCCCTTGGACGTTAACCCTTGCATTGTCTTTGTCAAGGCATTGCATTTTTACTTTTCTTCTGATTTTTTATGCAAATTGCAAAATAACGGTCGCCGGAAAGGGTTGAGTTTTCCTTTTCGGACAGGGCGAGGGGGGTAAATTGAAAAATGCCAACATTTCCCCGGGCCTTTTCATTGTTATGCAATTTATGCGATTTAGGCACCTGTAGAGATATCTTTTGGCATTCTCAAAATAACGGTCGTCGGTCGATTTTTAGGGGTTAAGGTTAAGAAGGGTTAAGGGATAAGAGGTTGGTTGGATTTTGACATTTTTAATTAATTAATGCAAGGCACCTGTTGTCGTATCAGTTACACAAACATAAAGTTATTTTTTAGTAAGTTAAAATGGATATTTTATGGCATTCATTTCAATATTATAAATGTGATTTTTATTAGGTAAATAATTATATTCTTATGAAATTTACTAACTAAATTATACATTAAAGGAGCTTTTTTTGCCGAATGTCCCAAGAATCCCTGATCACAATAATTTCGATCTGGATTATAACTCTTTCTATATTTGTATACCTCTGTAAGGGTATTCTAATTTTAGTCAGAAGCTTAAATCCATGTGAAGGAGTCATTTCTGACCCTATAAACCATATATATTCTTGATCAGCATCATCAGGCGAGTCGATCTGGCTATATCCGACAAAAATTTAATTTTTTCATATTTCTGAAAATTTTATAAGGGGTTACATCGTTAAAATTTAAAAAATTTCCAAAAATTTTAATTATTTTAAATGTTAAATTTAGTATGCAGATTTATTACCCTACTAAAAACTAACATAGGAAAGCTTACCAAATTTAAATAAATGATTTTTTGGCTTAGTTATGAGTTTTTAAGATTTTGATTTGTCGTAAAAATACTTGAACTCAGGATATGCATATAAAATTTATCTGTAAAAGTCTGCTTTCCATACAGAATCTACTAGAATTTCCCGTGCAACTTGCTCCACTATTTGGCAATGGTCATCGTGCTGGCAGCCTGTACTCTCTTTTCTGGCCACATTCCCCCCCCCCCCTGCCCCAGCTCAACTTACATTTTTTAATTGTTCATCATTAGGTTTTTCAGCGTTTCCTCTGTGCATCGACCCCTCGGCAGCCCGCTGCCGCCTCCACTCCAAGTTGCCAAACCCATTAATCATGTTTTCGGAAATTAAGGTCAACCGCATTTCACGGAGCAGCTCGCTTGCTTTTTTCCAAATGCATTTTTCAGTTTTCTTGTTATATTTTCTTTTTTCTTTTTTTTGGCAGAGCCCAGCGAGATTTTGGACTCGAGTCGACTATCTAAACTTCCAGCACGAAATTAGTTCGCAAGTGCATTCACCTCCCCGAAAAAAGAAGAACGACAGAGCTGATAGTGCGAGAAATGAGTGTAAGTGCGGGCATAAAAAAAGCGGAAAAGTTGCCGCAACTCTGGAGCTCCATAATCTGTGAAGTCGGACCCAGAGCCTCGGGGGCTTTACAACCCCTTCCCGGGCTGTAATCTTATCATCATTAATACAAACCGGCGACTGTCCATATCGCCAGTGAAAGTGTGGAAAATGCATTTACAAGAAGCTGGAAAACGCTGGCCATAGAAAATGGTTTGTGTTTTTTGCAGGCTAAATTCAATTAATATAGGA